GCTCTTCCGGTTTCCGGCACTCCCCCACTGTTACTGACCTAACCATTATGCAGCTGAGGACTAGGCTGTCCCTTATCTAAGCGTCCTCCGTCCCAAGGCCATTCCCACATGCCATTTACAAGCTTGGATTGAGGATAGTAAAGCAGTGCAAACTTCTATCGGGGCCCAACGATTTGCTTCCTCCCCACCCACCTCCCCAGGACGGCCGCCTGCCCATCCCAACGTACGTGGGAAGCCGGCTTGTCTCATCAGCTTTTTCTTCGAAAGCAGTTTCATTGCCTGCAGGAGACAAGGACATTGTGTTGAGTTGAGTCGCAAGGCAACCGCCAAAATTAATTGCTGGTTGCAGGTTTCATAATGAGTTCTGCACTGCTTGTTCTTTTCTGGGCTATTCTAGATCTGCATTGCAAATTATTCTAGGAATAAAACCGATCGATGGATTAAATAAATTAAGTTCCCATCTCATTCAGTGCTATGCAAAAATTATGAATTTCCCCCTTATTGAAACTCATTGCCCAATTCCACCCTTCCTTTGGTTTAAAAACTTCCTCCTTTTTTAGGTTACATCAAGTCAATCCGTGCCAGCTGATGAGTGTTTACTCACATAGTAAGTATTGTCATTTTCATTGTATGCCAGCTTCACAACACCGTAGGAGCCCTGGGAAACACACAGACACACACAAAAAACGGTAGGTGAAGAAAACAGGAGGGAAACAACAGTTGCTGAAATGATTGACAGGTTATTTTTATTAATATGTTTATTTACAGAGTTTATTTGCAGAAGGCCCATCCCAAATATGCAATGATTATGGCAAGGACTTGTGGGTGTGGGTGTGGGTGTGATTACCTTTCCAATTTCATCCTTCAGAGTGTATTGATTGAGCTGCACACAATCCTGAGAAAGATAAAAATCAGAGGCGGAATGAAGGACCGAAGTCGATAGCAAAAACAGCCTGCCATTAAGCCGCGTTTCTTCCACCCCTTGGGGATCATAAAACCTCCTCCATTCGCAGAGTTAAGTTACTGCCACTTGTTTCCATAGAAGCCACCAACATGTGGTGTGTGGGTGTGAGTACACACACACACACAAACACATAAACAGAGAAGCATCTGACAGGGATGACTTGCCCACGACTTCGGCTACCATTATCCCAGGGGTGAGATGCTCCCGGTTCGGACCGGATCACCCAATCCGGTAGCGATGGAAGCAGGTGGTTTGGAGAACCGGTAGCAAAAATCCTTGACCCGCCCCATGCCCAGCTGAGCCGCACGATCTTCAGAGGCTTTTTTTCTTTTAAATGCCTCTGACGATCCAAGCTGAGTTGCCTGATTGGCAGAGGCTTTTAAAAGTAAAAATAAAAAGCCTCTGATGATCCCAGCTGAGTTGCCTGATCGGCAAAGGCTTTTAAAAGAAAAAAAGTCTCTGCCGATCAGGCAACTCAGCTGGGATCGTCAGAGCCTTTTGAAAGCATTTTTTTTACAACCTCTTCATCGAAGAGGTTGTAGAAAAAATGGTTTTAAAAGTAAAAAAAAAAAAAATGGCCACGCCCACCGTCATATTACACCCACCAAGCCACACCCACAGAACTGGTAGTAACAAATTTTAGATTTCACCACTGCATTATCCCCAACCTTGACTTCAAAACACTTGGAAGACACTCAATTGCCTACGTTTATTTATGCGCTTATTATAAACCTGGTTATTTATAGTTTTAAATTTTAATATTTATTTATATTTACAGGTCGTCCTCGACTTACGACCACAACGGGAGTCCCAAGATCTCTGTGGCCAAGCGAGACATTTGTTGAGTTTTGTCCCATTTTTACAACCTTTCCTGACACAGTTGTTAAGTGAGTCACTGCAATTGATAAAAGTTAGTCCCCCGGTTGTTAAGCGAACAATGGCTTCCCCAATGACTTCGCTGGTCAGAAAAGGGGATCACGAGACCGCGGGTTGCTGAAACTGTCATAAAGACGAGGCAGTTGCCAAGCTGGCTCATATTCACTTTTATCGTGTAAGGAACTCTGGGAGTTGAAGTCCACAAGTCTTAAAGTTGCCAAGGTTGGAGACCCCTGCTATCAGCGTTTCCTCCTTTGAGAGTTGAGGAAGAGGATTTTTTGGGGGGGGGGTGTCTCTTTTCCTCACCTAAAAGCAGGGGTGAAATCCAGCAGGTTCTGACAGGTTCTGGAGAACCGGTAGCGGAAATTTTGAGTAGTTCGGAGAACCGGCAAATACCACCTCTGGCTGGCCCCAGAGTGGGGTGGGAATGGAGATTTTGCAATATCCTTCCCCTGGAGTGGGGTGGGAATGGAGATTTTGCAATATCTTTCCCCCAGGAGTGGGGTGGGAATGGAGATTTGCAGTATCCTTCCTCTGCCCCGCCCACCAAGCAACACCCACCAAGCCACACCACGCCCACCAAGCCACGCCCATGGAACCGATACTAAAAAAAAATTGGATTTCTCCACTGCCTAAAAGGATGGTTGGGGAACAAGCGTGACCTCTGCAAGAACAAACGAACAAACAAAAATGGCAGAAAGAGAAATAGGGGCTTCCCAAGCCCCCAGACTCTTCGATCTTTGAGAACTCCTCTGCAGTTTTAAGGATCCCAGGAGTCAAAACCAGCCCCAAGTCCAGAAATACATTGGACGCCACTCCTCTGTTTGATGTAGAGCAGCTAATGGACCGTTCGATCATCCGTTCTTTGCTTAAAAAAATGCGGTGGGGTGAATCGGAAGGAGAAGGGCCTGAGAAAGCATCAGGCACACTCACTCTCCCAAAGATCAAAGGTGTGGCTCAACTCTCCATTACCTGGAACCTTAATGGCAGAAGATAAATTGGCCTGCAAGGTCTCCGAATCGGATGTTTGCCAAGCTCGGCAACTTTAAAAGGTGTGGACCGACTCTCAGAATTCATCAGCCAGCATGCTGGGTTTCTTTCCTCTTTTTCTTTCTTTCTTTTTGGAATAGTGAATGATAGGATAGAATAACAGAGTTGGAAGGGACCTTGGAGGTCTTCTAGTCCAGCCCCCTGCTTAGGCAGGAAACCCTACACCACTTCAGACAAATGGTTGTCCAACCTCTTCTGAAAAACTTCCAGTGTTGGAGCATTTACAACTCTTTCGGCATTGAGAACCAAATCCTTTCTCACGTTGCTAAAATAACCCAACGTCCTTTTTTTTTTACAGTTCATTTTTTATCAACAATATACTGGAAAAATAACTACGCAATCCAGAGGTGGGGTTTCAGCAGGTTCTGACCAGTTCTGGAGAACCGGTAGCGGAAATTTTGAGTAGTTCGGAGAACCGGTAGTAAAAATTCTGACTGGCCCCGTCCCCCATCTATTCTCTGCCTCCCGAGTCCCAGCTGATCGGGAGGGAATGGGGATTTTGCAGTAACCTTCCCCTGGATTGGGGTGGGAATGGAGATTTTACAGTATCTTTCCCCTGCCACGCCCACCAAGCCAGGCCACGCGCACCAAGCCACGCCCACAGAACCGGTAGTAAAAAAAATTGAAACCTACCACTGACGCAATCTCTGTAATTCCTTCATCCACGTATTGTATTTCTGCACCTTTGCCCCCCACCCCATCCTTTCCGCCTTCCTCTTTTTCGCTTTGTCTTTTCTTTTTTCCTTCTCCTTTTAAAAACGATGAGCAAACCGACAAACGGTGTCCCCAACTGTCGGGACGTGGCTTCTCTTACCTGCAGCCCCGTGATGGACACCCTGTGGGACTCGATGGTGGGCCTCCGGGGCAGACGCGGGGAGGAGTGTGGGGAGGTGACAGGGGAGTAAGGGAGGGAAGGATAGATGTAGCGCCCATTGAGCCCCATGTTCCCGCTGGGGGACTGGACGGAGGGAGACCTCTCTTGCAGGGAGAGCTTGCGACTCGAAAGGTTGACTTTGATCCAAGATTCCTTGGTCTCTCTGGAGGAGGTCCTTGAAGAGTTGGCCAGGCCTGGTTCTCCAAGATCTCCAGGTCCTGGGGCTAGAAGGGCCTGCTCTTCACATGGCTCCATGGGTTCCTCCTCCTCCGCCAGCCCCTCCGGCTGGCCTGGCGTGGAACTGGGAGGAGTGTCGTACTCCGCTACCACCACGAAGGACTCCATGGTGCTCCGAGAGGTCACATTTTAGATCCGTCAAGCGGGAAGGCTCCTCTCGCGCATGGCTGAGGGAGTCATGGCAGAGAAGGAGCGTCGCGGGGACAGGCCAGATGGAGGCACATGGGGGCATTATGTGCTGGCCAGCGGAATGCCCATGCTGTGGCGGCCGCTCTCCTGGAAGCTGGATCTGGACGAAGGAGAGACAAGACCGAGTAGCTGAACTTGAGTGGGACAAAAGGCGAAGGCAAAAAATACAGTCGGCAAAAAGCTGTAATGCCCAGGGTTCACGTAAGACGGATTAACTGTATCATGGCTTAGAACGATGGGTTTATCCAGCAATATGGGGTTACAATAGGAACCCACAATCTGTGGAGGTCTTGGTGCTCTCTGAGTTTGGTTGCTTACTTGCAGACGTTTCCTGACCCAAATTAGGGGACATCATCAGAGTTTGTTATGGCACCTCCTCCTCCTGCCCTCCCTGCAAACCTCATTCAATTCTAGCATTGATGACGTTACCTAGTTGGGTCATGGAACGTCTGCAAGAAAACAGCCAAGCTCAGAGAGCACCAAGGACCTCTCAGGTCACTCCTGAGCTATTGAGATTCTCTGCTCAGAAATCCTAATCTGGGAGCTGAATCCACAAGAAAAAAAAACCAGAGAAAAATACAACTCAGTCCAGGAGCCTTGCTATATTTCCAGAATTGCAATTCTTAGAAGCTACAGTCCAGCCTACCTCATGGCAACCGGTTTTTTACTCAGGCAGATTTTAGAAGTGAAATAAAATGAACTCATTTTTGCTTCTCTCTAAATTGCGAGAAACCATAAGCAGGAATTAGAAATACGTCAGGAGCAATTTCCTTAACGCTTTGAAGAGGAAGCAAAGGACTCGTCAAAATTAGAGCCACCCTTAAAACGCTTGTTCAAATTCCACCCTCAGGCCAAGCAATCCTGAATCTCGACAGGAGAAAACACCCATTAGGTTTAATTCATCACAAGCGAGGAAAGCAATGTGGGCAGGTGAGCGACAGGTGCCAATCACTCTTTTATCATCACATTTTTTTTTCCTTCCAAACACCCACCCTTTTCCTCCTCGTTCAGAACAGGTGACTTGAACGATTTACCACTCACCTCCCCTACTTAATTTTTTTTCTATTCTATTCTATTCTATTCTATTCTATTCTATTCTATTCTATTCCATTCCATTCCATTCCATTCCATTCCATTCCATTCCATTCCATCCATTTTCCATTCCATTCCATTCCATTCCATTCCATTCCATTCCATTCCATTTCATTTCATTTCATTTCATTTCATTTCATTCCATTCCATTCCATTCCATTCCATTCCATATTTCTATTCTATTCCATATTTCTATTCTATGCTATGCTATGCTATGCTATTCTACTCAGCAAGAAGGCTTGGGAATTATTTAGAAATTCAGAAGAGAAAAAAAAAAACGCTTGCCGGAAAATGATCCGAAATTAAAGCAGAAGCTGGGCTATAGCAATAGCACACAGGCCTATCCTTGAGCTGTAAATTAACCCTATTTTTTTTTCCTTTTAAATAGCTTTGCGACAGACCCGTTCCTCTGATTAATCCCGGTTTTAAAATTCCCCTTTTGGATTCATCCTCAGAAGCCCCGTTAAATAAAAAAGGGCCTTTTGCGCTGAACACGATAGCCTCCTCCGACTGCTGCTCTTTTACCAGTCGGGATGAGCTTAAAAATTCCCCGTTCTAATGCTCCCTCTCTTCTCCTTCGAGTTCTAAAATTTCCCCTAAGCCATTATGCAGATGCTTAAAAGCAATTCGGAGAGAATGAGAGCAGAGATAATGAAGCATAATGAAAAGGCTTCTTTCTCCGGGCTGAATTAAGGATGACATTCGGTCACCCATCAGAAACCAGAGGCAGGGGGGAAAAAAAAAAAGGACAGGCTGGCTTGATGGAAGACGCAGAACCGTAGTTTGTTTCGATTATGATCCAGCCCACCGATATGGCACTAAGAGGTAAGCTAAGAATGTCTTACAGATCACCTCTTGGACCGAATCGGGATGCTTAACTGCTTTTCATGGAAGCAACCACAATCAGCAGCTTCTAAACATCGCCCGTACTTGGCTGGGGAATTCTGGGAGTTGAAATCTACCCGTCTTAAAACGGCCAAGGTTAAGAAGCACTGCCTTAGAGGATCTCCTCCAAGGACCTCAAAACAACGTTCCAAGATCCCGTGCAGAGTTCCAAAGTGGGGAATTCTGGGAGCTGGGATTCAAGAAAAGGATTTGAGAATGCTGGCTTCTGGGAGTTGAAGTCCTCCCGTCTCAAAGTTGGCCCAAGTGTGGATAAGGCTGCTTTAGTGGAAGCCTTTGGAGAAAGCAACCACTGAATTGAGGTCGCCTTGGACCATGGGTGGACCTGTGGCTTGGTGGACCCATCCTCCGACTATCTGCGTGGAAAAAGGGAAGAAGTTCAGATCGGTCCTTCTCTGGAGACCTGGTTGAGGAAATGCAGCATCCGAGGAGACTTAAGTTTTCTGAGGATGAATGCAAATAGCATTGACTATTGTGAAAGAAGGGAAGAAGATTCCTGGGTCTTTAATGGTTGAGCTACACCTGCCAGAAGTTGTCCTTCTGAGCTGCAAGCAAGCTTTCCAAGTCCTCCTCCCGCTCCTTTATCTGACTACCTTCTAAACAGGCTTCCGTGGGAACGTTTCAGCCTTCGGCTCGTCTCCAACCCCACACAGAATCCGAAACTTGATTCCAGGAAGGATCTGAACGCTCCTCTTTTCAGTCCCACACAGCTTGGGAAGAAAAGACGTCCTTGCAACAAAAGCGGGGGAAGACCGAAGGGAAAGGAAACAAAAGGCCCGGCCTTCAACTCATGGCACGTTTGCCCAAGCCACATGCTTTTGCTTCCCTGCGCTCCCTCTTCCCTTTTCCCTCTCCCTCTCGTCAGCCCACGGAATGTGGGGAATCTGGAGAGATAAGACTTTGCAGCTTGCAAAAAGGGGGGGGACGGGAGATAAACGGGAGAACAAGGTCAGAGAGAGAGAGAGAGAGAGAGAGAGAGAGAGAGAGAGAGAGAGAGAAGCAACTGGGAAGGAGGCAAAGCACAAGGAGGACCTCTGCAAAAGTGTCTGTCTGACTTTCTTACTTTCTTTCCTTTCTTTCTTTCTTTTTTCTCTCTTTCTTTCCATTTTCCCTTCCTTCCTTCTCTCCCTCCCTATCTACCTTCCTTCCTTGCTTGCTTACTTTCCCATTTCCTTCCTTCCTTCATCCCTTCTTCATTGCTATCTCATTCCTTCCTCCCTCCCTCCCCATCTTCCTTCCTTCCTTTCTTCTTTTCCTATCTCCTTCCTCCCTCCCTTCCTCTCATTCCTATCTCCTCTCTCCCTTCCTTCCTTCCATCCTTCCTTCCCTCCCTGCCTCATGTTTCCTTCCTTCCTCCCTTCCTCCCTCCCTTCCTCATTCTATCTCCTCTCTTCCTTCCTTCCCTTGCCTCATGTTTCCTTCCTTCCTCCCTTCCTCCCTCCCTTCCTCTCATTCCTATCTCCTCTCTTCCTTCCTTCCTTCCTTTTCCTTCTTTTTGTTTCTTTCTTTCTTTCCATTTTCCCTTCCTTCCTTCTCTCCCTCCCTCCCTATCTTCCCTTCCTTCCTTCCTTCCTTTCCCATCTCATTTCTTCCTCCCACCCTCCCCATCTTCATTCCTTCCTTTCTTCCTTTCCCACCTCCTTCCTTCCCTCCTCCCTCCCTTCCTTACTCTCATTCCTATCTCCTATCTCCCTCCCTTCCTTTTCCTCCCTCTCTCTTGTTGCTTCTCCCCTTTATCCACGCCAAATTCCAGCTTCTGGACTTGTCATGCCTGCTGCAGGTCCAATCTTGTACTGGAGAATTCCCCCAAAGCCCACCCGCCTCCAACCCCCCCCCATACCCCAGCCAAACTGTATACTTCCCAAGGCCTCGACTGGAGGCGTGTATCTACGCAGAGCTGCACAGAAGGTGCATTTTGCCGATCAGAAACAAGCCTCAAGGATGTTCGAAAATAATAGCAAACAATAACAGCAGCAGCAGCTTTGGCTCGTCAAAGAAACCCAGAACTTAAGGAGCCGAGTGCAAAGAGAGAAGGAGGTTATTTCTGAATTTCTGCAATTGTGAAAAGAGGAAGAGATTTGAGCCGGTTGAGGGACCGGTTGACAAAAGCCATATGCTTCCTGAGCGAACACAACATTAACTTCCACTCTATTTATTTATTTATTTATTTTAAAAAGATCATTTCTTGCATCCTAACAAGACAGGAGCTGCTCCGATTGACAGAGAGATTTGTACCCACGAAGCCACATAGGGGAGGAAACCCTCCTCTTAACAATTTGCCTCAATGGGCACTTATATATATATTTTTTCCAGGTAAATCCAGATTCGGCACGCTCCTTCCAGCTGATAGTTAAGAACGCTCAACGGTCGTTCAGCGGGAGAACGTGAGAGCTGTGCCTTACAGAACGGGTGTGTAAAAGACACACAGATCCACATCGCAGTCCCCTTCGATGCACGAGGCTGCTCTGATGGGAAGGGAGGAGGAGAGGAGCTGGCTGGCCCGTTTTTTAATTTCTGTCCCAAATTTCTGGGCAAAAGGACTCACGTTGCAAAACCACGTTAAAGATACACGTTCTAAATCAGTGTTTCTCAACCTTGGGGGCTTGAAGAGGGGTGGGCCTCAGCTCCCAGAATTCCCCAGCCAGCTATGCTAGGCCCACCCCTCTTCAAGCCCCCAAGGTTGAGAAACACTGCTTTAAAGGGTTTGCAAAGAGTGAAGTTGTGCAACATTGGTTAAAGCGTTAGCAACCTCAAGACGCACCCAACTCAAGCTCTTGTTAGCTCCACGTTGGCCTGCCTACCGAGGATTAAACAAACCTTGGGTTATTCCTCCTTCCGAGATACCTGGCAGCTCCTGATCCTGCCCAGGTCCCTTCAGGACGCCAAGTTGAATCGAAGGAGACCAGAAAGGAAGAACAATTTCTCTCCCCCCCCACCATCGGCCCGCCAATAAATCAAGGATTTCAACCGCCCTCCGTAAACGTCAACTCGCCATCTGTCCCACCACCCCAGCTAGAACTTCCCCTCTGCACCGAAATGCTCCCACTCCCCGCCACCCCGTGGTCCAGATGGGAGGGGGGCTCCCTCCGCTCGGCTCCCTCCAGCCCCGCCGTGTCCTCAACGCTCTGCACGTCCCCTACAGTTCAACACCCCCAAACCAAACTTTAAAAGGAAGGAAGGGAAGGGAGGAAGGAAGGAAGGAAGGAAGGAAGGAAGGAAGGAAGGAAGGAAGGAATCAACACAGTCCTTTGAGACCCAAAGAGGGATGTCGAGCATCAGTTCCCCCCACCCTCCTTCTGCAGGTTTGCACTATGGCAACCCCCCAAAAAAGGAAGGAAGAAAGAAAGAGTACGGATAGCATTGGAAGGAGCTGGGTTTTATTCTCCCCCAAGCGGGAGGAAATCCTCCTGCCAGTGGATCCCTTCCTAAAGCAGATCCCCACTTCCTAGCTCTCCGGGCCCTTGCTGATTTCCCCAGACAGATGTTAGCTACAAAGGGAGATTCCCGGTGCCCTTTTGCTCCGAGAGCATCCGGCACTGTGCTGCTCTCCTTTCTCTTAGGTGACGTCCAGATGTTGCAGGTGGGAGGCGAGTAGAAAAAGCATCTCGCCCCCTTCCCCAAGGGCTGCATCCCTCCCTTTCGACCCCCTCCGAGCCAAATCCACCCCTTCCCACCCCAGGAAGAAAGTATGCAGGGGAAGGAAAGATGCCAACCAAGCCCAGGCTCACCCACCTTCCTCCTCCTCCTCCTCCTCTTCCACCACCCTCACCCCAGCTTACCTGCCTGTGGCTCCAACCGGTCCGGAGGAGAGAGAGAGGCGGCTACAGCCCCAGTGGTTCCCGCAGCCTGTCTGGGAAGGTCTCCATTGCCCGACAGCGCCAGCCAGACGCCCCAGATGCTGGCAGCTGTACCCCGATTGGCTGCGCCCGGAGCTTTTCCTGTCTAGAAAGTGAGAGTCGGCTTCAAGCAGCTGACCGCCCATTGGCTCCACTGGGCTGTCGAGACCGGCTCTGATTGGTGCAGAGGGAGGGGAGGGGGTTGTTATCAGGCCACCTCCCAAATCTCCTTTTCTTCCCCCCCCCCTTTCTCTCTCTTCTCCCCCCTTCTCTTTTTTTTTTACTCTTTTTTTTTTTTTTTTCTGGCATTCATCCTAGGCAGAGAAGCCGGAAAAAGCATCCAGGCAGGGAGAACTTTCTCTTAGGAGCAAACTGCAGAGATCGGGGTTGGGGGGGAAAGAATGAAAGAACACCCCCCCCCCAATTTTTTCAGAGGATGAGATGTCCCTGGACTCCAAGCACCCATGCACGGCGTTCTCTGCAAACAACCCTGGGAGGTAGGCTGCTCTGGAGCCTCAGGGAGAAGGCTGGGAAGAGGTCCAGAAAGATTGCACACTACAAGGAAGAGGGAAAAAAACCCCATACAGATGGATAGTCCCAGCTGTATTACCGGAAAGGAACACAATTGTTGCGGCACTTATTTTGGGCAGTGAAACGTCTACAAGAAAACAACCAGCTCAGAGAGCACCAAGGACCCCGTAATCGTTGCCCTCCTCCTCCGCCTCCACAAATCCCACTCCCTTCTACCGGTAGCACTGATCATGTTACCTAGTTGGGTCATGAAACGTCTGCAAGAAAACCCCCAAGCTCAGAGAGCACTAAGGACTCCACAGTCCTTCTCTTCTTCTCTGCAAACCCCACTGCCTACTAACACTGATTATGTTACCTAGTTGGGTCATGAAACGTCTACCAAGCTCAGGGAGCACCGAGGATCTCTCATTTCAACCCCGAGCTACAAATATTCTCCTTTATTGGTATAAGGAACACAAATTTAACAGGCGGAACATGTTCCGATCTCACAGGAGGTCCCAAATGCCATTTAAAAAAAAAATCTCAGATACAAAATTGGCTCAGATTCACGGCGAGGACAAAAACGTTGGGGATTCACAGGTTGTCGGAAGGGATGGCCAAACAGAGCAACCAATCATCCAGCCTGGTGTAAGGCAGTCCCCAATCTCCTCCAAAACGAACTCTCAAACTTCCTAGCACAATCCGACGAGGAGTTACCATTGTTACTTCTCAGGTCTAAGCGTGCAGAAATGTCTCGGTTCCCCTAAAATCGTTGGACTTCAACTCCCAGAATTCCCCAGCCAGCTGGCTGGGGAATTCTGGGAGTTGAAGTCCACCCATCGTCCAGCGGCCAAGGTTGAGAAACACTGCCCTAAAAGGACTATATTATTAGAGAGATGATTGTTATTAAACTTCAGCCTTAATTGTAACGTGGTTGATGTGATTTCGGTCTAAACATTCCCTCGGCATTCACAATTGGTGGCCAAATGTACAGGTAGCCCTCAACTTACGACCACAACTAAGCCCAAGTGAAGAAATTCTGTTTTTTTCCCCTCTTCATCCCCCTCCATCCTCACAGGGTCGAGCGAACAAATGCAACACTTCACCATTTCCTGCAACTGGTGTGTCCCCCAACATCCAGGCCTTGCCAAGCTTTTAAAAGTTGCTCCACGCAGACGGATGGACTCTTAAGCCACTCAAACGCTGCTTCCAGGCCAGAAGGAAAAAACTCCAAGCGAGATCAACGTGGCTTTTACCTATGCTTAAAAGCCTCTCTCGAGCACCCAGGCTACAAAGGAAGCAGCCTTACCTCCATCAGAAGGGTTTCAATAATGCACGAAGGGGGAAGAGGAACGGGCCGGCCGAGATGGTTTGTTAAGAGCTTCTCCTTTGCAAAACAGATCCATCTCCCATGGACTTTGGGACAAAGAGGTCATGTCCGGCTTTGGAAACTCGGCGGCACTTGCCAAACGTCGGTTGGGCTTTGGGAAAAAAGATCGCTCCGGATCGATCAATAGCAATAGCAATAGCACTTAAGACTTATATACTGCTTCACAGTGCTTTACGGCCCGTCTCTAACCAGTTTACAAAGTCAGCCTCTTGCCAACCATCTGGGTCTCCTCATTTCACCCACCTCGGAAGGACGGAAGGCTGAGTCAACCTTGAGCCTGGTGAGATTCGATCTGCCAAACTGCCGGCAGTCGGTGATCAACAGAAGCAGCCTGCAGTACTGCACTCTTAACCACTGCGCCACCACGGCAATACTGGTAGTTCTCGACATACGGCCACAACTGAGCCCGGAATTTACGTTGCCGAGCGAGAAATTTACGAGTTTCGTCCTACGGGATGATTTTTTCTTTTCTTGCCTCATTTCTTAAGGGAATCGCTGCAATTGTTCTCTTAGCCACGTGGTTGTTAAGTGAATCTGGCTGTTACAATGGCACTGAAAAAAGTGACTTCTGGCCGTTTCTCACACTTATGACCGTTGCGGCATCCCCGCAGTCATGCAATCAAAATTCAGATGCTTGGCAACTGACTCTTATTTATTTATTTATTCGTTCATTTTTATTGTTTTTCTATTACATACATTTCTTAGTGCTTTATACACATTGTGTTGTCTGGGTATTTAATTTGCTTAACCATTCTGATTATATTTTTAATCTCCACCCCTCTTTTCCAACCGTTGGTAAAATGAATTCCATGTTTTATAATATTCTACGTCCTCTTTTCTGCTTAATTTTCAATGTTAATTTATCCATTTCTGCACAATCTAGTATCTTATTTCTTCATCTTGCAGTATATCTTCATTTTTCCAGTATTGTGCAAAATAATCCTCGCTGCTATTAAGACATGTACTATTAACTTTTCTTATCAAGTTTTTCTGATATTATACCTAAATAAAAACAATTCAGGTTTATAATCTGTAAGTTTCCCTATCATCTTTTCTAACCGCCTGTGTATCTTTGTCCAAAGTTTTTTTGCTTTGAGACACGCCCACCACATATGATAAAATGTGCCCATTTTTTAAAATTACATTTCCAACATTTGCTAGACGTATTTTTAGACATTTCAGCTAATCTAGCAACTGGCTCGTATTTATGACAGTCGCGATAGCCTCAGGTCACGTGATCCCCTTTAGTGGCCTTCTGACGAGCAAAATTGACGGGGAAGACGGATTCACTCAACAACGGCGTGAGTGACTGAATAACTACAGTGATTCACTTAAACAACGGTGGCAAAAAAAATCGTTAAAAATTTTTTTTCTCGCTTAGCAACAGAAATTTTGAGCTCAGTTGTGGTCGTAAGTCGAGGATTACCTCCAGTGGTTCACATGTGGCAAAGACGTTGATTGTGAATCTGTGGCAAGAAATTCCCCCTTTCATCAGGATGGGTCGGTGGGCCTCAACCGGCGAGAACAGACAAGTGAAAGGCATCTGAACACAGGCACCGCCCACAGACCAATTTATTGGCATTTCCAAAGACTGAACATGGCAGGGGGTGAGAGACCCATAAGAACGAGGGGAGGAAGAACCGCAGAAGGATGATCTACGGATCTCGTTCTGTTTTAGTGGCTCCGCTGGCTTTCCCCAAGGACTGGATTCCTTTGCTCAGAGGCCTCATTTAAAAGTACTGATCAGGGGGACCCCCCGGGCGGGGAATTCCAGATGAAGCTGCCGGAAGAGCATGGCACACTGGTTTCTCTCTTGGGTCTTACCCAGGCTGTGGAAGAGCCTGGCTTGCAGATACAGGACGTCCCGCAGCTGTTCTTTGCAATCCACTTTTGCAAAATAGGTTTTGGCTTCGTTCAAGTTTAGGATAGCTGCTTCCAACGCTGCAGGAGAGAGAGAGAGAGAGAGAGAGAGAGAGAGAGAGAGAAGGAGAAAGAGAAAGACAGAAAGAGAAAGAAAAAGACAGAAAGAGAAAGAAAGAAAAAAGACAGAAAAAAGACAGAAAGGAAGGAAAGAAGGAAGGAGAGGAGAGAGAGAGAGAGAGAGAAAGAAAAAGAAAGAAAGAAAGAAAGAAAGAAAGAAAGAAAGAAAGAAAGAAAGAAAGAAGACAGAAAGAGGAAGGAAGGAAGGAGAGGAGAGAGGGAAGAGGAGAGAGAAAGAGAGAAAGAAAAGTCAGAGGTTTTCAACTAGATCCGTCCCCTTTTCAAAATGGGTATTTCAACAGATGCCTACCCAGCAGCCAAATTGTGTAGTGGTTACACTGCACTACACAGCCAGTCTGGTGTAGTGGTTAAAAGCACCAAAATACTTAGAAACTGGGAGGTTGTTGCTATAGTCCCACGCTCGGCACGAAAGACAGCTGGGTGAATTAAGCCAGCCCCTCCCCCTTAGCCCTAAGAAAGAGGCAATGGCAGCCCTAAAGAAACAACCAGGGATTATTCCAGGCAGCCGACAGGAGTCAACACTGTCTCGAAGGCCCAAACGCACAAAAGGGGGGTGGGGGGGTGGAAATAGGGAAATTCAGGGAAGGGCCGCCAGTGGCTACTCATTTTTGATTTTTTGGAAGCCCCAGGCAAGTGAGCCAGGCTGGCAGAAACACCCATTTAGGTCTGCCACGACGTTGCCCCGAGATCTTCCAAGGACGTCTAGGGTTGTGGAGAACTACCTTCTGCCTTCTTGGCGGGGTCATAAGATGCCGCAGAAGCAACCTGGCACTTGGCCACCAAAAACATCGCGGCTCCTTTGTCCAGCACGGCCCCGTGGGCCAGGATGGGCTCTATGGCCATGTGCAGAATGCTGAGGGCTTGCTCGGGAATCCCGAGGATGAGCTGGAAAAGAAGCAAACACAACGGCAACGGTCACTTCCTGGCTTCTTCCTCTTCCTTAGCCAACTCCTTGGTGGCAAACCTATTGTCAACTCGCAAAGCATCCCTGGCCTGCTCTCGAGTTGCCATAGGCAAGGGGGATGGGAAAACGGCGAAGCAGCACAGCAGCCAAAAACAAAAGCACATTCCAGATATCTCTCTCTCAAGGCTGTCTCCCAGGGTTACCCACAGCGGCCTGAGGGGAGTGATCTTTACAACCTGCGAAATTGCTCTGTTGGCGAATGTGACTGATGACACATCCTGGGGGGAGGGGGGAAACAGGGTCAAGATTGGGTAAATTACGGGGGTCAGAATTGGCTTCACTTGGAACATGCCGACATGAAGCTCCTAATAAATGACTGGATTTCTTTTGAAGCTTGGCTCGAGGCTCATGATTTAATTAGGGCATCTGTTGGAACCCTGACACCTATTTTAAAAGAATTTGAGCGTGCAGGAGGCGGGAAGATGGACACCCCACAATGTCTGCCCCTATGCAACTGATGGTGCACCCTCCCTGAAGCCAAAGTGGGGTTGATTTGTAGCTTATAAAGCCATGGTTTATGGCTAAGTAACCCTAGACCATCCTAGACTAGGCCATCTCCAAAAATGTTGGGGAATTTCTAGAAGCCGACAAGTTAGCCATCAATAGACACACAGACATGAACATCTATAGACTATGCAAAAGAGACAATCAGCCAGCCAAAAAGGGAACTGAAATGCAAGAAAACAAGCAAATTCCACAGTCCTCCTCCTCCTCCTCTCTGCAAACCCCACTCCCTTCTAACACTGATCATGTTACCTAGTTGGGTCATGAAACGTTTGCAAGAAAATAAGCAAGCTCAGAGAGCACCAAGGACACCTCCTGGCTAAGTATTTCAGATGCCAGCCAGTTGTAGTTTATTCTATACCCAACCAGCTTAACCCCCTATACTTGGGATATATCTGGGGGCTGCAAGCTTTGCAGAAAGGGTCCCATCCCCTTCCAGGAGCAAGAAGGAGCAGAGAAGGAGCAGAGTGGTACCTGGGCAAAAGCCAAATTGAGGATGGTTTCCGAAGCCAAGTACTGCAGGCGGTATTCCCTCGCCAGGGCCAGAGCCTGCAGCAGGATGGGCAAAGCGATGGTGTGGCACAGAGACTGCCAATACAGCTCGGCAATGGAGAGCAGGACGCTAAACCCAGAAGGAAGAGAAATGAGGAAATTTGAGAGATCCGAGGAAAAAATAACTCTCTCAGGAGTTCTCTCGATCTTACATTCTTAAGCACCTTCTCTGGAGGTTTCAACATGAACCCCTGGGCGTTTCTGGAGTGTTTTCACACTTGGTTTGATTGTGGTTGGCCACTCAGCGTTGTTTGCAGCTGGGCTGCCTTACAACTACGAGCTGTGAACAAAGGAGTAAGCAAGCACATATTTTTGTGTTTGATCACACCTGGCACGCAACCTGAAATAGAGAGGGAGGACCCAAAAAATGCTAAGGATGCTTTTAAGCCGTTAAAGGGTATCGACTTCTCCTGCTTTGGGCAATGATTTAGACCAGAGGTCTTCAAACTTGGCAGCTTTAAGACTTGTGGACTTTAACTCCCAGAATTCTCCAGCCAGCATAGCTTCTGGGAGTTGAAGTCCACAAGTCTTAAAGCTGCCAAGTTTGAAGACCTCTGATTTAGACAAAGTTTTTAACATTATTAGCACTTGGGAATAAACACCAGCCTCCTGCAGATTTTGCTCTCTCTCTCTCCTGTACAGGTAGTCCTCGATGTACGACCGTTCGTTTAGCGACCGTTCGAAGTTACAATGGCACTGGAAAAAAACAGTGACTTGTGATTTGTTTTTCATACTTGTGACCATTGGCAGCATTCCTGTAGTTATGTGGTCAAAATGCAGACGCCCTGGCAATTGACTCGTACTTACGACGGTTGCCGTGGCCCAAGGGGATCACGTGATCGCCTTTTTTTGCGACCTCCTGACAAGCCAAGTCAACGGGGAAGCCGGATTCACTGAACAAAGCGGGTTGCTAACTTAACGACTGCGGCAAGAAAGATCGTAAACCGAGAACAGAAACTTTGGGCTCAGCTGTGGTCGTCCGTTGAGGACTCCATGTACTCTCAGGGGCTGAAGAGAGCACAGGTAGAGAGCCCAGAAAGGCCACCCAAACCGTGGGCCACTTTTGGCGAGAAACGGTGTCCCTTACCTGATGACCATCTCGGTGTTTTTGGTTTTATGGCAGTGGATCAAGAGTTTTTCCAGGAGTTTGTGGGCCTTGGACATCTGATTCTGGGCTTTAAGCAGAGTTGCTTTCCTGAAAGACCAAATCCAGGTGCAGAAAAGGTATTAACCACTCAGCCGATGTGCCTTTGTTTATTTGTATTGTTTTATTCCTTTGCTATTGTCTACATTTTTTTCTCATTGTTTCCCCCGTTTTATTGTTGCAAGCCGCCCAGAGTAGTAGCCTCACGGCGAAATAGTAGGCAAATAAATATAACAAAACAATAAACAATATTTTGGTCGTAGCAGGACCAAGCATCCAGGTGTTTAATGAAACCCACCCCCCCCACCCCCCAGGAGAAAAATCAATGCATGGGCGAGCGCGAAACTGATACGGCTTTCCACACAGTTCTTTACTTACGACTTATTTAACGACCATTCAGAGTTATGACAGCCCTGTGAAAGTTACTTCATGGCCTGTCAAACTCTTCCAGCCATCTTAAAAAGCTGCCCCCCA